ATTTAACTATAAAATATTTATATCTTAGTTTTTTTTAATAAATTTTATAATAGAAAATATTATTCCAAGATAATAATACAATATATAAAAATTATCTTATTTTTAATCTATTATTATTAATATTAATATAAATTCGGTTTTAGTTATATAATAAATTATATAGAAAAATTCATTAAGGATATTATTGATTTAACCACTCTAATTTTTAAGTTTTATAATAGAAAATATTATTTCAAGATAACAACGTAATATATAAGAATTATTTTATCTTTTAATATATTATTATTAGTATTATAAAAAATCATTTTTATTTATATAATAAATTTTATATATAATAATTTATTAAGGATATCATTGATTTTGACCGTTCTAACTATAACGTGAGATTTCTGTTGCGAAAAATCACTTTGCCAATAATAGTATAGATAGATTGATAACAGTTAGTGCCATCTCGAATTTCTTTGATGGCCTAAAGCTTCTTAAAAAATTGTGACCCTAATAAAACAAATTACTATACTAAAATAATATAAAATTTTGAAAATGACAAAATTATAATATAACCAAAAATTGTTAAGAACAGATTGTATTTGACATTGGTAATTCATTTAATCTTTTTTTTTGTGGATCATGAAACCTATACTATGTATATGAGAGTTTTATATGTAAAAATTTAGGAAAGAAAAAAAAATTAGAATAAACTATCCTTCGAAAATAGATATGTAAGGTTCAAGTTAAATTCTCTTTTAATTTTCGTTTGATAACTACACCATAAAAAATGGAAAGAGACAAAAATTTAAATTTTCTTTAATATTGTTTTGAAAACTATAACATAAAATTGAAACTAGTAAAAGAAATGAACAGAGAATGCTTGTTATTTGCGGGATTAAAAATAGTGTATGCTAGTCCGAATGTGGAATTATTTTGCAGATTTTGAAAGATTATGAGAGGGCTTCAAGATAACAAATTAAGTTTATGAAGCCTTCTCTCCAGTTTGGACATAAGGTACCAGAAGCGATAAGGTTGGAGGTACAACATATTTTAGGAATATATACACTTGAGGGGCATGGGAACTTATTTGGAAATTCCAAAAAGTCTTGGCGGATCAAAAACCAGATCTTTGGGTTTCTTAATGAGAGTGTTAATAATAAAGTTAACCATTGGATACTTCGCTTTATTACAAAAAGTGAAAAGGAAATTTTAATAAAATCTCTAGCATTTTCTATGCCAACTCATGTTATGTCTTGTTTTCGTTTACCAAAAATGGTTACCAGAAATTGACAAGTGTAGTTTCCCATTTTTGGTGGGGAGGTAGTGAAAATATTAAAGGTATGCACTGATTTTCATGAGACAAATTGTGTAAAGGAAAAGATCAAGAGGACATTGGCTTTGGGGACATCCTGAATTTTAATACATAAACACCATTTTAACGAAATAGTTATGGAGGTTAATAGATAAACATGATTCTCTTTTCGCAAGGGTTTTTAAGGTCTGGTACTACATGAAATCAGATCCATTGGATACAATAAAATCATACTCTCCATCCTATGGGTGGATGAGTATTACTTCAGCTAGATCTCTAGTTAAAGAAAGGCTAATCAAAAGAGTGGGAACAAGTTCAACTATTTCAGTCTGGAATGATCCTTGAATCCCCGCTTCTCGTCTGAGGTCAACAACTCCAAAATTGCAGAATCAATTTTTGAATCCACTACTTAAGGTGGAGGATTTCATTAATCCAATTGACTTATCATGGAATATGGATTTATTCAATGCGTATTTTATACCAGGATGATGTCGCTATTGTACAAGGTCTGGCTATTAGTCGTCCCAAAGGCCGATTCGTATAGATGGGATTTTACGGATCAGAATAAATATACGTTTTACCCTGGATACCCTGAATAAATTTAGGATCTTGTTATGTTCTGGAATCAAAACTCAGGCGGAAACACTTTACCCTGATTGGGGTCTACAACAAATAGAGATGTGATCAGATACAGAAGCCTTAAGGTACTGTACCGGTAATGAAGAATCTTCGTTCTCGTGGCATTAGATGTGATTGACAATGTCAATTGTGTGGAACCGATGAGGAATCTGCGAATCATGTACTTTTTGAATGCCTCGTAGCTCTCTAAACTCTGGTACTGTATATGCACACCAATTAACCTAATGTGCGCACTACCACAATCGAATGGTATGTCCATGTAGCACTCTAGGATCAAATCCACAGAGACCAAATCTTACACTTTATTTTTATGGGATCAATATTAAGCTAAAACAATGAATGATTTTTAAAGTAAGAAAATAAAAAAAAGCAAGTAACAGAGAATGATTTGGGTTGGGTTTTAGATGATAAAGAATGCTAGCCTAGGATGCTTCATTGGGTGTTAACACGATGAGCCAAACAATTATTCAAGCTCGATTAAGAACAGTCTAGAACTCAGATTTCTAGATAGAACAGCCTGATCTCGCAGAGCTGCTCCTTTTGCAGAGCGACCTTGATACCTATATTCTCGCTTGGATCAAGGGTCGATAGCAAACATTAAAACACTGATCTAACATGCTCACATAATACCATGATATCTACTCTCGCTGATCAGATATATGATGCTCGTTTATAACAGATCTAGCAACCTAATTCATGGTTAATGATAAAAGGTTAAACCTAGATTCAAACACAAAATGGTTAGATTAGTATTAGCATTAAGAGCAATCATAAATGAAGAGAAAAAGATGAAGCTTATCTATGTTCAGTTCATGAATCAACACCCTAGAACCCTAGGCTAACGAGATCGGCTACTCAGTCATAACAAGAGAAAATACATAAATAGAGACTGAATAAAAATCATGCGATTCAATACAATAAGAGTAGGGTTTAGGATTATCTTCTCTATGGCGAGAGATGGAGCCTTCTCCCTTTACAAAGTACCAAAATCACAATCTCAAAATCTCTAGAGTTGTTTCTCTCTTCTAAGAAGCGTCCAATGCCAAGGAAAATCAGAAAAGAGTATATCTCTATGCCACAGGCGGCTGGGAGAGAATAATAGAAAATTTAGGGTAAATCCCGAAATTAATCAGAAGTTGTCATAATTTTCGGGAGCAGGCAGGGGATTGCTTCGTTTGGGTGCTCTGCGACAGAAAACTTCCAATATTCATTATTTTCTTCATGTGTCTCTCCAAAGGTCTCCTTACCTACTTCAAACCTATAATGACTCAAAAAGGATTAGAAAAATTCGATAAAGACTTGAAAAAAATTAAGAAAACATATATACAAGATGTCAAAAACACCATATATCAGGTACTCACATACATCCCTTAACTTCCATGGTTTTTCTCTGCTCAATCCATTTTTTCCAACATGGATTATTTATTTTTGAGATTACCCAAAGAACCAGATCTCTCGTATTTTTTTTTTGGATTCTATGGTATATTTCGAAAAATCAGAATAATAAAGATTTTAAAAAATAAAATAGGAATCCTTTGCATATTCTTCGGTTTGCGGAGATAGAATATACTTTATAAGCCGAAGGCCAAATACAAGATACAGTGATTAGTGATTCTTATACTTTTTCTAGGAATCAAATTTTTCATTGTGTTGTGCTATATTGATGGAGCATGGAAGGAACATTATTCATTTACAAGTCAAGGCTGGTTTTATAGGAACGAACGAACAACTGATACTATGATGGGTGCTATGAATATCCACATGAGTATACCACCTTTACATGTAGAATGTGAAGCGTTGATCTGGGTGATGGAGTGCATGAAGACACTCAAAATTTTAGAAGTAGTTTTTGCAACATACTGTTCACAACTGGTGAATATGGTGTCTACACTTACAGAATGACTTGCGTTCACTACACACAGAGATGAATTTCTATGCTGTAAGGATTTTTTAGACTTTAACCATACAACATATCCCAAAGGCAAAAAACATAATAGCTGATAAACTAGCACCTAGTGTTCAGAATATACTTTCTATTATGGTTTATGGTAATTCAATTCTTCTGAGGTAGCTCTTGGGTCATGATGTAGCTTAGTGTCTCTTGTTGTGAAAAAAAAAAGAGAATGCTTGTTTGTGGTACTGATCAAACCAAATAAAATTAAAAATATTGTACAAAAAATATAAAATCTGGTCTAATTTTTCTTTTTAAAATGTAGCCCAAAGTTAATGCTTTAACTGCCTTATGAGAAGCACGGGACTGATAGCGGTAAATTAAGATCGTTTAAAATGTTTAAGAACAAAATCACTTTTATCTATTAGCTTAAAAACACTATATAGTAATTTTTTTTATAAATTAATAATGTTGGAATTATAATATTTTATAAATTTATAGAGTTATTAATTTTACAAAATTTTCTTTTTAAAATTTATATATTTTGAATTCTGTTTTTTTCAATAAGAAGAAGAGTTAAATATATATATATATTAATTACATTTTAAAATTCAAATTTCTTTTGTTTTATCTGGTTATGTTATGCATAAAATATGTATTAAATGTAAATGCATTTTAGGTGTAAAATAACAAAAAATATTAAAATATTGAATTGTTTAAACAATTAATGACTGACTTCACTATGAAAAAACAAACAATGCAATTTTTTATAATAAAATTTTTATATACATTAGTTGTTAATTTATATTCTTATTGGAACGATACACTTCGTCATGTTAAAGCGATTTTAGTCGTTAATAATAACAGGGTTTTGATCTCAATACTGGTTTTGCTCGCTACATCTCTACATGCACATGAGAAAATGTTTTTTTAATTCGAATCACATATAAATATAGAGATAAGCATGACTATAACCATTAGATTATTTTTACTTTCTCATACGGTAAACATCACACAGACAAATATTTTTAACACCTGAAGATTACTGGTCATTCATGTTTCATTTTAGACTGAATTAATTTTAATCTGATATTTATCATACATTTATTTGTAAATCAATATTATCCAAATTAATGGTTAATTTATCTCATATTTCCAAAAATCTTAGTATCATATGTAAATAGGATTTTTAAAAAGGCAAAACTCATTTTTAGTAACGATCCAATGATGTTTGAATCCCTGTATTTCATTATTTTTCTCTAAGTAAATTCCATCAAATCTGGCAATCCATGAACGTTTTTGACCTGTTCGAATGGTAGCGGCTCCTCTGTATGCATGCCATATTGTTTGAGAATGTTCCACTTTATCTCCATATCGAAAGGTACAACGCCATACAATTATGTTTCCTGCTCCTTTCTCTCTAATAAATATTTGATATTTATCATTAACTTTTATTTCATGGAGACCGTCATCTACATCTTTGTTGGATGAACAATTAACTTTGAGAATACTATCTGAACTGAGTTTATTTTGAATCTCTAAAGTGTTCCAGAGGGGTGCACCTTGACATTGTGGAAGATTGCGTTTATCAATATTACACACAATTCACCTTCATTCAAACCAAAACATATAGCAATAACTAGCGTAAATATAAGGAAATGCATCTTTTTATCAAATATATATGTTAGAGAAAGATGATTTTAGACATTAAAGTTGAGTATATTTATAGTTTTTGGTAAATGTTTTCAATATTCTATTAAATATTTTAAAAGGTAATGGTTACAATTAAACATATCTTTAAACCAAACAAATATGTGGTGGAAAAAGAATTTGAAATCGAGAAATAAGGTGAATCAAATAAGATTAGACCAAATTAAACATGCAATTTAGAATTGACCACGAAAATCTAAAATAATCTGACTACAATATATGTACGATATTTAATCAAGTTAGATTTCACAGCAAAATTTCTAATTTAATAGTAGAAAATAAAATTTTAACTTCATCGCCAGAACCACAATATTTTGTGTATTTTGAATTATTAAATTTTATAACAGATGAATACCTTTTATTTATATTGATGTTTTATCTTAACTAGTAGTATCTATAAATAAACTATAGTAATTTTAGTTTTCAACTTTATTTGTGTTTTCAATATCAAAACATTATGTATCATGTAACTACTTATATTGAAATTTAGATATACTTATTATTGAATTAAAACTTGAAAACATTATTCAATTAAAAAAAATCTTTTAGAAATTATTTAGAAGAATAAATAATAAGTAAAACTAATTATACTCAATCATTACCATATAAATGTTTTTTTTTTGTTGTAAACTTCCATATAAATATTGGCAGACACTCTCAGCATTTTCTTTCATAATCCAATCTATAATAGAAATGGAAAATAATTTTGGCAGTACAAAACACTCACTGGATTGTTTGAGGGTTGTTGTTATTTTCATTTGATTTCTCAATTGCTTGGTAAATTAGACTTAATTTTAACACACATATTTTTTTGTAGGAAAGTTTGTTAATAAAAGACAACTAATCTAATATAGTACTAGGTTATTTTTCCGTGTTCATGTACATATATAAATATTTATAAAGCAAATATATTATAATAATTAATTGTTATTAACTTTTCATGAAGAAACTGTTTCTATATATATATATATATATATATATATTAATATAAATTAAGCATACAAATTATAAATTAATTTAAAATTAAAAGTAAATAATAATTAATAATTATAATATATTTGTGTTATAAATATTTATATTCATGCATGAACACGGAAGAATCACCTAGTACTATATTAGATTAGTTGTCTTTTATTAACAAACTTTCCTACAAAAACATGTGTGTTAAAATTAAGTCTAATTTACCAAGCAATTGAGAAATCAAATTAAAATAAAAACAACCCTCAACCAATCCAGTGAGTGTTTTTTACTGCCAAAATTATTTTCCATTTCTATTATAGATTGGATTATGAAAGAAAATGCTGAGAGTGTCTGCCAATATTTATATGGAAGTTTACAACAAAAAAACATTTAAATGGCAGCGATGAAAAAACTCTTTGTAAATAGTATAGCATTGATTGAGTATAATTAATTCTACTTACTCCCTCCATTTCACTTTAGTTGTCATTCTAGGTTTTTGCACACAGATTAAGGAAATATTTAATTTTACATATTTCCAAGATAAAAACACAATTACCTATACACCTAACCACTTTTCAACCAATAGAAAAATAAAATATTATATAAAACTAATAAATTTTGCATCGAAACTCTAAAACGATACTTAATTTGTGACAAAAAAATAAGCCTAGAATGACATATATTCTGAAACGGAGGGAGTATTATTTATTATTGTAAATGATATCTAACAGAATTTTTTTAATTGAATAATGTTTTCAAGTTTTAATTCAATAATAAGTATATCTAAATTTCAGTAAAAGTAGTTACATGATACATAATGTTTTAATATTGAAAAAAACAAATAAAGTTGAAAACTAAAATTAATATAGTTTATTTATTGATGCTACTAGTTAAGATAAAACATCAATAGAAATAAAAGGTGTTCATCTATTATAAAATTAAATAATTCAAAATACACAAAATAATGTGGTTCTGACGATGAAGTTAAAATTTTATTTTCTACTATTAAATTAGAAATTTCGCTGTGAAATCTAACTTGATTAAATATCGTACATGTATTGTAGTCAGTTTTCTTTTAGCTTTTGTGGTCAATACTAAATTGCATGTTTAATTTGGTCTAATCTTATTTGATTCACCTTATTTCTCGATTCCAAATTATTTTTCCACCACATATTTGATTGGTTTATAGATATGTTTAATTGTAACCATTACCTTTTAAAATATTTAATAGACTATTGAAAAAAACTACCAAAAACTATAAATATATTCCACTTTAATGTCTAAAATCATCTTTCTCTAACATATATATATGATAAAAGAAGATGCATTTCCTTATATTTACGCTAGTTATTGCTATATGTTTTGGTTTGAATGAAGGTATTAAGTGTAATATTGATACTCGCAACATTCCAGAATGTCAAGGTTCATCCCTCTTGAACACTTTAGAGATTCAAAATAAACTCAGTCCAGGTAGTATTCTCAAAGTTAATTGTTCATCCAACAAACACGAAGATGATGGTCTCCATGAAATAAAAGTTAATGATAAATATCAAATATTTATTAGAGAAAGAGGACCAGGAAACAGAATTGTATGGCGTTGTACCTTTCGATATGGAGATAAAGTGGAACATTCTCAAATAATATGGCACGCATACAGAGGAGCCGCTACCACTCGAACGGGTCAAAAACGTTCATGGATTGCCAGATTTGATGGAATTTACTTAGAGAAAAATAATGAAATACAGGGACTCAAACATCGTTGGATCGTCACTAAAAAATGAGTTTTGCCTTTTTAAAAATCCTATTTACATATGATGCTAAGATTTTTGAACATATGAAATAAATTAACCTTTAATTTGGATAATAATAATATACAAATAAATGTATGATAAATATCAGTTTATAGTTTATTCAGTCTAAAATGAAATATGAATGACCAGTAATCTTCAGATGTTAAAAATATTTGTTTGTGTGATGTTTACGGTATGAAATCATATTATATACAAATATATATATATATATATCATCTAAAAATATAGCTATAAAGACATGTTTTACTACTTCAAAAGTATAATTTATGTTATTTAAATATTTTTAAATGAAATATTTCTATTTTATGAACTTTCTTTTTAATTGAAATCATATTATATATAGATATATTTTCGTTTTTAATTTTTTTTAAACTTTAGAATTGTTTCCTTTTTTATTTTATATGTTATTTGGAAAGTTTGGGAAAAAACTAAAAAATCAATAATAATATTAAGAATATCAATGTAATCAACCATCGTGAGAGTTAACGTAAGCGTGACACATAGAAAACTGACTTCTCAAATAATAATATAGATATGCCATCTGAGACTTTATGTCTAAATTGTAGCGAAACTTTTGATAAACTAATATGTTGTCTTCGCCCTCATTCACATAGTTTATAAGAACTTAATAACATTTTACTCAAAAAAAACTAATCTAATATATTGTGCGTTTACTATAAAATTTAATTTTGATATTTTTTTATTTTTATTATTTTACATTTTCTAAAAATAATCTTATCAATTAATTGAAAAGCCAAAAATATAAGTTATAATATTAACTAATATGTACATTTATGAAAAATATTTTTGTGATGAGATTATTATCAAAATAGTTTACAAGTGTCAGTTAGCCAAATCTACCATATACAATAGTTTAAAAAAATATAAATTCACTGAAGATATAATAATCTACAAGACATAAAATGCAAAATATACCGCATATAAATCCATTTTCTCCTATAGAATATACACTCTACAGTTAGTTCTAATTGCAATATGTTGTCTCAACAGACCCGTGTTCTCAGCCTCGTTATGTTCCACCGCACTTATGCTTATCCTGTCCCTAGGCTTTAGCGCTCCTCTCCCAATTCCATTTTCTTCATGTTTACTATGATTCTACTCGTGTGTGTGTGTTAATGACACACTCTTTGCCCTTGTGCAATCTTCTACTGCATGCGGTATGCAGTCCCCTACATGTATTCAGTCCGAACTATGACATTATAACTTTATAAGGTGGCTTTCTCTTCCTTTGCGGCAATGTGAAGAATTAGTGTTTGGTGTATCCACTCAACCGTTGAATCTTGTTGTTTTCTCGACATTTTCCTTCATGGAACTTGTTTTCTCCCCTACTCTCCACTTGTTTTTAGTGGTTGTGTTGCAGGAAGTATTGTGTCGAAGTTTACAAACACTTTTGTTGTCCGGTTTTCGTAAAGGCTTAGCAAAACGGTCTCATGTCGCCTATGCTTTAATAGCCGAATTTCTGATTGTTTACTCAACACTTTGTGCTGTTTCCTAAATCCCTTTCCAGCATTTCAAACCTTTGTATTATTGGCGTCAAGGATAGATGACTCCTCTACGACTTTATTTGTTTAGCTATGATGTTTGCTCCTAATTTTGAACAATCATAAATGTATTAAGTTATCTTATACAAAAACAATAATCCGTTAACTAATATTTTTTATAGAATTTAAAAAGAAAATAATATCCTCGCTTTAAAATTTATATGATGACCAGTAAAGTTTGTGATAAAAAAATATTACTCTAATGTTTTATAAATAAATTATGATTCCATATGATTTATATTTGAATTCAAAGAGTGAAATTTTGTCACCACTGAAAAACTATTTAAAAACTCTCTAAATTGAACTCCAAATCTTTTCTCGCACTGTAAATGAAAGTTCAATAATATATATAAAAAATATGAATTTATAAATATTTGACACATTTATATGAACTTTTTGAAGGAAAAAAAATATATAGGTTTTGAAAGCGCGGATCAAAATCTAGTGGTTTCATAAATCTTAATAATTGATTTTATAACTCAAAAAAATATTTTTTTATCAACTATAATAATTTAAAATGATTTTACTCTTTAAAAATTATAAATATTTATCTATGGTTTTCAATTATAAATAATTTACAAACCTGTTAATCTTCATAAATATTTTCTAAACACCTAGAAAAGATGAAAAATCATTTCTTATAAATGGTTTTATAAATCTATATGACATTTTTATAAATATTTATTTAAAAAGAAAACTCTTATTAGTGTCACCATACTCATTATTGATGATTTAAAACCTTATAAATGATTTAAAAATCTTTATGTAATATAAACTATTATATATGTTTTATAAACCATAAGAAATGAATTAATATAAATTACTTTCAAAATTTTCATAAATGATAAATAATTTATAAACTCGTTTTATGATGTATATGTATGATTTATATAGGAAATAAAACTATTTTACGACTAAGTTATAATAGAAAATAAAGCTAATATATTAGTTTTATTAGCTAATTTTAAAAATATTTTTTTTTATTAACAAACTATTAATGAAAAAAATAATAATGAAATATCTTATAGAATTTTCATAATTAGATACTATAAATGATTATAGATAAAATTATATACACGGTTTCACAACTAATATTAATTGGTTTTATGATTGTCTCTTTTAGATTTGATTGAAATAAATAAAAAAATTTAAAATTTATCAATCAAATTATAATAATTTTTTAGGTTTTACCTATGATTGACACCTAAAAAAATCAATAAAATGATCTTTCACATTGACACCTAATAATCAGAATAAAGACAAGCTCACAATAACAAACATGAGGAAACTACATGCATAGTGACTCCATCACAACTAAAAGGCTCAAAAAGGTTTTCATAATAGCTAATTGGTTTGTTTGTTTGTAAAAACTATGGTTGTTAAGACATCGCAATTAAAAGTGATTTGAGAACAGTTTGTTGCATAATAGCAATTTGACTAACAAACATGAAAAAGATGTAAACCGTGCTATGCTCTCCTTAGTTCTCTGCGATAGAGTCAGGAAAAAAGGTTTGTTCCGCTTTAACAGAGCTCTCGTGGAGCAGGAAGAAGTCACACATATTGTTGAGGAAGCTTGGCAACTCTTCCCATTAGACTATGTTATTCAGAAACTAAATGACTGCAGGAAAGGCATCATCAAATGGGCTAAGGAGAAACAAGAACAGAGTAATCTTGTCATCAAACAACAGCAGGAGGCTTTAGAGACTGCTCTTTCATGTGATGCTCCAGATCATAAGCTAATTGATGACATATATTCTACACTTCGACAGGCCTATTTAGCGGAGGAACAATTCTGGCATCAAAGAAGCAGAATCCAATGGCTCAAACAAGGAGATAAAAATACTGGACTTTTTCATGCTGCTACTAAAACTCGAAGAGCAATTAATTCCATACCAGTCCTTGAGGATACGCAGGGGGGAGCAGTCTATGAGGAGAAGGACATTGCTCGATTAATTTCTGAGTATTTTACTCAAATCTTCAAGACAAATGGAAATAATTCTTTTGCACAGATTCAGAACCTCCTGAACAGGAAGGTCACCCAGGAGATGAATGAGAGTTTAACTTTAATACCAAGTGATTCAGAGATTCGAGAAGCTGTTATGTCGATAATGGGAACAAGGCTCCGGGCCCGGACGGTTTCTCAGCAACCTTCTACCAGTCATACTGGCACATTGTTGGCAGTGAAGTGACAAAAGACGTCAGAAATTTCTTCATTTCGAGCTATTTACACCCCCGGCAGAATGAAACGCACATCAGGTTAATCCCGAAGATTACTGGACCGAGATCAGTGGCTGATTATCACCCTGTTGCTATGTGCAATACTCATTATAAAATTATTGCAAAGATTCTTTCTAGACGCTTGAAACCGCTGCTCCCCGCCATCATCTCCAACACTCAATCAGCGTTTGTGTCGGGTCGAGCGATCTCGGACAATGTTCTCATTACACACGAGACCCTACACTTCCTACGTACTTCGGAGGCTACTAAGCGATGTTCAATGGCCGTTAAGACGGATATGAGCAAGGCGTACGATAGGATCAAATGGAGTTTTGTTAGGGAAGTGCTTACTCTTCTTGGTTTTGCGCCGATTTGGATTGGTTGGATCATGAGCTGTATTGAGTCGGTCTCTTATTCTTTCCTGATAAATGGCTCGCCACAGGGACTGGTAAAGCCATTACGGGGGCTCCGGCAAGGAGATCCACTTTCTCCACACATCTTTATTCTTTGCACAGAGGTCCTCTCAGCTCTTTGTGCCAAAGGACAAGCCGACGGGACTTTACCGGGGGTCAGGGTATCCCTCAACAGTCCACCAATCAATCACTTGCTATTTGCCGTTGACACCATGTTTTTCTGCAAATCGAAACCGGCATGTGTCACTGCCCTAAAAAATATACTAGCCACGTACGAAGCAGTCTCGGGATAACAGATTAATCCTCAAAAATCTGCTATCACCTTTTCTACCAAGACCCCGGAGGATACTAGAACGCGGGTCAAGGAAACTCTGGAGATTTATTCTGAAGGAGGGGTAGGAAAGTACCTGGGTCTTCCCGAGCAATTCGGGCGTAGAAAGAGAGATATTTTTGCATCTATCCTGGACAGGATACACCAAAAGGCGCACAGCTGGACAACTCGGACTCTCTCTGGTGCTGGAAAACAAGTAATGCTCAAATCAGTGCTCTCCGCAATGCCATGTCATGCTATGTCTTGTTTCAAATTACCGCTCTCCCTTTGTAAGCAAATTCAGTCCCTACTTACTCGCTTTTGGTGGGATGCTACTCCGGAAAAGAGAAAGATGTGTTGGGTGGCTTGGGATACTATGACCCTACCAAAATATGCGGGAGGGCTGGGCTTTAGAGATATCAAAATATTTAATGAGGCTTTACTTGCAAAAATTGGGTGGCGACTTCT